CCTACTTTGCATTTGGGCTTAGTTACTTTTATTCATTCACAACACCCAACAAACTGCGTCCTCATGTTACTGACCTCAGAAGGATGAAAGGTTGAGTCAATATTGAGACGGTCAGGATCAAACTCCTGGCTGTGGGCAGAATTAGCCTACAGTACTGCATTCTAACCACTGCACCACAATGGCTCCTTGGCATATGGGGGAAGAAGCTTGAGGTGAGATGATCAGAGGTGCAAATCTGTTCAGCTTCAATCGGTGTAGCAGGCCTGTGACCAACCCCTTTGGTTCGGTCCTTGGGCCTGTTTTTATGGTGCTCTGTTGACTCTGTGGGAGACTAAAATTGTCATGCTTTCACAGGGACATCCTCCCTCCTCATCCCCACTTTAAATATTGGTGATTGGTGGACCTAGAGATCATGACTAGCCTTCTCTGCATCAACAAGTGTAATAGAAATAGAAAATATTGCTTCTGTGGCCTATATGATGAGGTATTCACTTCCCAGTTTCCAGTGATCTCCGGGAATGCCCCTCAGTCACTCTCTTCCCGGAATTTTTTTTTTTTAAAGTTACTTGTAAATTGCAATCTGGTACAGACAGGACTTCAACCTACAGTTATAATTTTTTCCTCTTCTATCATTTTGGATGTTCAAAATTCTGTATGTGTGCTGTGATGTGATACATGAATCAGTGAAGTGTTGAAGGTGGTGGAACTTGCTGAGATGGCTAAATTGAATTGTTTGAACAAAGAAAAGGCAAAGACTATGTGTATTGCTGCATGACAAGGCCTTGTAGACTTCTTGCATGAAACAGGAAAAAAATGAACTTGTGATGTATGGTTTCGATGAGTAGATTGAATAAATTATAGAAAGAATAGAGTTGTGTTATAACCATACAATAAGGGGTAAATTTATAATTGTACATTTAGCTGCTCTAAAGAAGATTGGAAACTACTTTGTATCTTATTTCTTTCCTATTTTCCTTTCTTGGATTTTTAGGGTTCTCTTTGATTTTTTTTCTTTACTTTTCATTAGTTTGTATTAGTTTTTAATCCTTAATAAAAATTATACAAAAAATGAATTAGTAAAGAATCTCCAGCTGTTTAACAATGCACTATTGTAGCTATATTTCAGTTACAGAAATCTGGGTGATAGGTGGCTAAGGAAGAGAGGCTCCCCCCCACTTTTTTTGGTTGTTGTTGGCCACCATCTAGTAGTTGAAAAATAGATCTGAAATAAAACTGGAGAAATTATATGGATGTGCCTGAGCAGAGCATCTCATAGCTGAACACTTCTCTCAGGCAAACTAAAATAGTTTAACTCTCCAAGAACACTTATTCAGTGGCTTCACCTGAGTGGCACAAATCCATACAATCACCACATTGCAGTTAGAACAATAAACTCACAATTGCCACCTAGTTATTGTTAGATCAACTACCCTTTGGGAAAAGAATTGAAGAAATGATTGAACCGATCATCCAGACCATATATCACTACCCAGGTACATAGTTTTCACAGCATTTGGTAATGGCCTTTCCGATCATTAGTGACATTTGAATTTAACCAAGGAACAATGCCAGTCCCTGCTCTTATATTGTCACTGGAGAAGTTGCACAAAAAGCAGCACAGCATGGCCTCACACTGGATGGTCCTTAGGAGCAGCACCATTTATGCTGACATTATTTCCCAGCTCTGGGGCAGGAGAAGAGCACAGCAAAACAACTATGTGGAAATATTTGAAATATAAAATAAGAATGCAAGAGATATTTCGCCTTTGGGCTTCTAGTACATATAATGATAGAAAGGCTAGAGGACAAATACTGTTGACCCATTCTCTTATGATTTGCTTCTCTTTCCCTTCGCAGATATCCCAATTAATCTTAGCCGTATTTGTAGGGCCATCCATAGATTAGGATTAGGATTAGGATTAGAATAGAATAGAATAGAATAGAATAGAATAGAATAGAATAGAATAGAATAGAATAGAATAGTTTGAAGGGACCTTGGAGGTCTTCAAGTCCAACCCCCTGCTTAGACAGGAAAACCTATACCATTTCAGACAAATGTATTGTCTAATCTCTTCTTTAAAACTTCCATTGTTGGAGCATTCACAATTTCTGGAGGCAAGTTGTCCCACTTAATCATGATTGCCCTGTAGAAGATGTCCCCAACCGTACTCTGTTTTTTTAAAAAACGGATGAAAATAACCTGTGGATGAGAAGCAACTCCATGCCAGGTTACATGTGCTGACGAGTCCCACTTCTTGACTATCAACACCTACAGGGAAGAGCCTTTACATGAGTCACACATGAGCTGTGATTTTAATCTGTTCAGGTTCCAGCTTGTGAAGAATCTTCTGCATTTATGGTTATATGTCTGGAAGGCCTTTTCAGCAGACATAAGACAGGTAATGAATCCCATGGAGAAGGCTTAGTGGAGGATTGGGGGGCCTTGACATACATCGGCATGACACTCTCCTGATACTTGAGTCAGTTTTAATTAACAACTGAGTCAAGTACAGCAAGTACAGATTTCTGTGACTTAGATATTATGAGTGCTTTCTGACATCAACATTGAGAACCAGGTCTTACCTTTCCCATGCTTTGCTCTTTACTAATATATTTCATCAACATGCATTGTGTTCTTTTCTACCTAAGTGTTCAGAAACACAGTTTCAACAACTGTCTCTGTCCTTCAGTACTGTGGTGCATCCAGGTGAGTAAATGTGTGTAGCCGATGACTCCAGACAATCTGGTGAAGCAAGCAGTGACTCACAAAAACCTACCCTTGCAATATTTATAAGTCTTTAAAATGCCCTTCTAGAACCTGTGAAAAATAGGATAAGGTAGGCCAAGACCCTTAGCTATATTTGAGCAAGACAGATTGTATGTGGGTTTGTGTATGCACACATACCCTGTGTCTGAAACGTTATTCTTTTTACCTCCAGATTTGGCTTTTCTAAGTACATGAAAATGGATGAAGAGGAAGAAGATTTACACCAGAAAGCCTTCCTCTTCCTGAATCCTGATAGTGAGTATTCCCAGGATCCAGCTTCTTCCAGCCAATCAGAGACCACTTTTTAGTTTTTAACCTATTTTATAAGCAGCTATTGAATCCTTGACTGTCAGCAGTATTATAATAATACCATCCACTTGCAGTAATATTTTTGTACTATCTACTTGCAGAGCTTAAATTTCCACCTGTGACCAGTTGTGTTTTGGGGTGATTTCTGAATGAATTTACACAGGCACTTCTTTTTTAGATAGCATTGACAGCTCTGCTCCTGTAACAGGAAGCTAATTTAAAAATCAGTTCTTCTTATATATAAAAGGAACATATTGGTTTTATGCACATCCTGCTGGCTATACACGAGCAGATTCTCAAGAGGCCTTATTAAAGCATACAGTACTGCCTATGCGCAGAAGTATTTGATTCTGGCCATATTCTGCGGGGAATGTCTTGTACAGATAGTCTTCAACTTATGACCAATTGTTTTAATGACAGTTTGAAGTTACAACAACCTCAGAAAATGTGACTTACAACTTGTCCTCAGTTAGAACTGTCACACTACACCAGTGGTCATGTGATTGCAGTTTGAGCAACTGGTTTGCAACTGGTTTGCATTTACAGTGGTAGCAGTGTTTTGCAGTCACATGACCATGATTTGGGTCAAGCTCTCTCAGATAAACCAGACAGGAAATATGATGAGATGAACTGATTCTACTTTAATGTAAGGCCACTTTAACAGAATCTTGCTAGTCTGAAGACACAAAACTTCCCACTGTACTTTTAACTGCTTGGTCCATTAGGATTAGGTTAGATCTTTCCTACGTTTGTTTCTCTGACTGTTAAGCAACTGCAATTCCTTCCCTGATCTGATTCTGTCCTAGGCAGCATCTCCTCTTTTTCCCCAGGGTCATTCCTACATTCAATTACATTTAAGGCCTTTCTAGTTGGCTTGGGACAACCAAAGTAAATTGGGAAGCCAGATTCCCTTAGCAACCACATGAGTTGCTTAACATTAAGCCGTTCTCTTAATGACTCCTGTAAAAAGTGGTTGTAAAATCAGGTCAAATGGTGTAATTTCTTGCTTAATGACCACATTATTTAGCCATTAAAATTATAGTCCCAATTACCATCATAAATCAAGGACTCCCCATACCTTCAGCAACTCACTGATCTCCCATGTATCTTTGTGACATTGGATTTCTAAAAGCCGTCCCAATCAAGGAAGTAATTTTTGCAGTCTAGACACTGTTAATCCTGAGAATAATATTTTGCTTACCTTAAAACAGAATCAATACTTTTCCTAACCTAAATCTGGTTTGCAGTAGCAAGAAAATTAGACTTTCAGCCTCTGCAAAATGTAGCCTTGATTCTTCTCAATAAAAAAAGAGGCTTTGTTAATTATATGGGGAGAAAAAATATCTTAATGTGTCTGGTTGGAAATTGACCAAGGTCTATCACTCAAATTCCTAGTTCTGTCTCCAAAATATAAAAACTCTGCATTTAAAACTAATAATGGGTATCTACATAGTATGTATTTTTTATTTTGTGCACAGTAATTTTGTACATTTATTTTTTGACTTAAAATAATTTCTTAGAATAGACTAGAAGCAGGGAAGAACAACGGTACAGGAAAATGAAGGTCATAAGGCCATTGTTTTTCATTATTTCATCAAGTATCTTATTTAGAACAGGGAAGGACAACTTGTCTCTTACACACCCCCGGATGTTGTTATGCTGCCTTATTCATCATCCCTTCCCATTAGCCATGCTGTCTAGGATTCATGGAAATTGAATTTAAGAAAAAGTTATCCCTGCCTTACAATCAGAGCAATGGAGATTGCTGAGTTTAAGAAACAGAAATATTGTGGCTGTTTTCATTCTAAATGTTTGCTGCTTTCTACTTCCCCAGTCTCTTCTCAGTCTCCTCTTATAGGCTCTATTGACACAAAACTTTGTTTTTTATCTCATTGTCTGCCACAACCTCCCTACCCATAAGTCATCTACCAATCACAGGTACCACTCCAAGGTTTGACCTACTTTGTGAATAATTTCCTAGATTTCCTTGACGAGGAGGAAGAAGGTGCTGATAGTCCTGAACCTACTGACACTTTTCCTGATGTCAAGAGCCCCAGTGAGTTGGATGCCCATGTGTTCATTGGAATGAAGAGAAAAGATAAGCCCTTAGCCACAAAAGATTATGGGAATAATATGGATTATAATAGCTTTCACCAGAAGCAAGAGACGTTCAATGAAGAAGGAGACTTCACAAGGCAGCCTGTCTCTATAGGCCCAAGCAGTGAACCTAGCCTGAGTCCTCAGACTCCATCTAAGGGCTTCCAGGCTTATGAGAATGCAGCACCCTTTGGAGAACATGTCATTATCAATGGCCGGTCTCTCAACTGGGCACAAGATGTGGAGATGGGAAGGAAGGAAGGTGATCAGGGACTACTGTCATCTTCAAAAAAAGGCACCTCTTTCAGCCTCCAGCCTCACCTTTCTGTGCCCTTCTTTGCTGGAAAGCCCAAGCAGCAGAGTCCTAAGGAGGAGAAACAATCCAAGAAAGAGACAAACAAACCTCCAGAGAAAGTATATGTGACCAGGTTGCAACCCAGTAAGAAGAAGGCCCCATCACAGAAGGATGTTTTCCCTGGAGTCTTCCTCTATCCTAGATCTCCAAGGAAGGTGCAATGGAACTCCAGGATCGCTCAGGGTCGCCCTGCTCCCTCCAACAAACTTCATTCTCCCTCTGCCCATAGAACATCTCCGCTTGTTGCTAATACCACCAAGGAAACAGGTCTTTCTAAAAGGAAAGGCCTACAAGTCAGCCGGAAATGGGAACCATTTTATGGTAGGAAACCTTTCAAAGGCAGTATTAAGCGGCAGATGCATCCAAGTGCCTCAATCTTGCCTGCAGAAGGACTGTTCAGCAAAGAAAACTTTGAAATCACCACTCCAGCAAGGACTATGTTAGATTTAAATCATTCAGAGGTAGTGCTGTCTGAAGGTGTGCAAGTGACCTCCTTCCTACAGATGTCAGAAATGACAGAATCTCAGCAAAAGGCGCTTGGAGGCCCTGAGAAGACCCAGGAGGAAGAAGTAGAAGAGGAAGTGTCTGATTATAGTTATGAAAACTCTGAGATTCAGCAGAGTTGGCTAGAGGATTCCATCAACTGGCAACGGACGTTTAGTGTCAGCCCTGTGGATTTTGAATTGCTCCGTTCAGACTGGAATGATCTGAGGTGCAACGTTTCGGGAAACTTGCAGCTGAGTGAAAGCGAGGTGGTGGATGTGGTGGCTCAGTATATGGAGAAACTCAATGAGAAGAATGGCGGGTAAGAATGGAAGAGAATTGTGTGAAGGGAGGCATTATCACAAGAATAGATAAGGGTGGTGTGAGGCTCCCCTTCACCCTTCCATTCCTTAATTAGGTGTGCTACTCTAGGGGAAACAAGGGTGGGATTCTACCAGTTCAGCCCAGTTCTACTGAACTGGTAGCTCGAAGAGCATCTGAGACTGAACTGGTTCGCTGCGACAATCTTCTGGTTTTCTGTTTGGCCCACCCACTTGCCTGGGCTCTAGACTGTGCTTTATTCCCTGCTTTTTCTACCTCAGCTGCTTTGCGCGGCACAGCTGAGTGCCACGCATCAGCAGGAGAAGGCGAATGCTTGCCGGAGCTAGTGATTTGTCAACAGTGTGCATGTGCGTGCAGCGCACCGCAAAGCATGTACTCACCAAACCAGTTGTTATGCCAGTAGGATCCCACCCCTGAGGGGAAATGGTTACATTTGTGTACTTGTATGATATGTGTGTTGTCCCCAGGATCTTGTCAGAATAAAGGAGATAAACAATGCTAAATCAATCAGTTGATACAAGATAGTTTCTTGAAGGAGAGTATTTGATGTGGCCCAAGATTTCATATGACAGCTTTCTGTCCTTCCACCCATAGCATCTACACTCTCTTGCGAATCATTAATGTTGAGAAGCGGAGAGACACAGCTCGAGGCAACCGCTATCTGATGGAGTTAGAGCTGATGGAGAAGGGCCAGAGAACAGTCCGGCTCTCAGAATACATCTATGTCCTGCTCCACCAGGGCAAGTCAGAAGACAGCACTGAAGTCAACCCAGAAGGGCCTGCAACTGTGTCCACTCAATCTCAACCATCACCTAGTGCCTGGAGTCTTCTGTACGGAAAACCCATCCTCTGCCGACCTTTGCGGCTCAGCTGGAGGCATGATGTTATGATACATTTTGTCGTCCCAGGTAAGCGATTGCCCTCTGTATCCCAGGGTTGAAAGCAGAGGTGGTATTCAGCAGGTTCTGCCCAGTTCTGGAGAACCGGTAGCGGACATTTTGAGCAGTTCGGAGAACCGGCAAATACCACCTTTGACTAGCCCCGCCACCATCTATTCTCTGCCTCCCGAGTCCCAGCTGATCAGCTGGGTCTTCTTTTGTTGCCCTGCATAGGAGAGTGGAGCTAGAAAGCAGGTTAGTGAGGTGGGGAGAGAATGGGATTTTGCAGTAACCTTCCCCCAGGAGTGAGGAGGGAATGGAGATTTTATAATATCCTTCTCCTGGAGTGGGGTGGGAATGTAGATTTTGCAGTATCCTTCCTCTGACATACCCACCAAGCCACACCCACCAAGCCACAACATGCCCACCAAACCACGCCCACAGAACCAGTAATAAAAAAAATTGAATCCCACCACTGTTTGAAAGGCTGCTTTTCCCGGCAGAAATGGCGTGATATATGAGGTAACGGGAGACCAACTATCATTGGGTTGGGGTTGAAAGTAGTTTGGAAAAAAAATCTCTCTTGGAATACACAAATATTCTTTTTTTCTTGCTATTACTTCTGGATAAGTGGGGTTTTCAGGGTATTTTTTATCAATATATCAACTATAGAATTTGCTTAATAGGAAAAGATTTGGGATGAATATATTTAGCATGGGCATATTTTGTATGGACATGTTTAGCATTCTTTTTTCATATTGTCTTCCTATTTAAAAAAAAAAAATAAGTCAGGCAAAAGAAAGAGTCATGCTTGAGATATTTGCCAGGGATGAATTTGCTTCTTCCTCATTACTGTTCCTGTGAGACCTTGTTGACATGAAATGCGAGAAATTATGGGAGGAAAGTCTTTCTATGCTCCATTTGGGAAGGAAATGAGAGAATAGTAAGGGTAAAATGACTCAGATCTGTCCCTCCCAAGCTAATCTCTGTACCCCATGAAAGGAGAATGGCAAATAAAGAATACTGTACCCCAGATCTTAAATTATGAGTGTTTCGTTTACCTTGGTAAATCCCATATTCTATAACGAGGCTACAGAAGGAACAAAGCTGCACTGATCAATAAGTGATCAGGAAATTATATTGGTTCCTAACTATATTGGCATCTTCACTGTATAGGTAATTCTTTCGTTCTGCTATTAGAATAATGTAATGCTCAAATGCTGAATTTCTATGGGCTAGAAACTTCTGAAGTCTTTTGAAATTATGATTGAAGCCTATGCTGAGAATTACCCCTATGCCCTTGTGTGTCCATAAGGACAATTGAAGACTTTAATTAGGGGAATGTTTACCCATGAACACTCTATTGAGTTTTTGTGTTAAAATGCCAAAAATCCCTGTTCATACCTTGCAGTGAAGAACCAAGCACGCTGGGTACAGCAGTTCATCTCAGATATGGCCAGCCTATTTCTGAACACCAAGGATGCCAACTTCAATATCATATTGGTGGATTTTGATAGTGATGACATGCATGTGGAGAAAGCACTTCAGGAGGCTCACCTGCCCAGGTAACCCAAGCAGTGGGTTGAAAGTTTCAGAACTGTTTCTTCTGATGGTTCTCCCTAAGTCCTCACTGCTAAATTTTAAAACTTCAAAACCTCTTTTAATGACTGCAAATGTTGCCCAGTACTTTTCTGTGTAACATATAGTAGGTTCAGTTAACCACTAGGGAGATGGAAAGCTGTTTTAATAAAATCTGCTCAATTTCCTCTCTTAAACTTGCCACTTTGTGTGCAAATAACCGGTTTTCTTCAGTGTCTAGGGGTGTGAGGCTTCAGTAGCAAAGGTTAACAGCACAAATGAACCAGTGCTTGTGTATATAAAAAAGTAATGCCAACAACAGCACGGCTATACAGAGATCAAAACAGTCTCTGTGTGATGTCTCTAGTTAAAGCTGTTTGAATGAGTTCCTAGTTTTATTAACTATCGTAAATATTAAGATGATAAATTAATAAGCAGATAGCATTCCTAGGGCTGCAAGTTTTAATCAGTTTTATTGGTAGGTTAAAGCTAAGCCATGAACATATGTACTAGGAAATGAACTTCACTGAAATCATTGGATGTATGTCTCAACTTTTATACATTCTTCAGCCAAAAGGACTCCCAAAGCAAGTTCCATAAATCCCATTCATTGAAAAGGATCACTGTATTAATAAATAACCAGTTCTACTTTGGCTAAATATTTTTGATATAATTATTTCAAAAGCCAATAGGCAGATATAACTGAAGGAAACCAAACCACTTAAGAACCTAAAAGAGACACCAGATATAAGAAATTAAAGGACAATCAGCTTGAAGTCACCATTATTATATGGAGCCTGTCCCCAAGATTAATATTATAGAGTAAGGAAAAAAGAAAGGCAGTGATGGCTATGATTTTATAACTCAGCTTGAGCATGCTAAGTCAAGGTTGACTCAACCTTCCATTCTTTCGAAGTCGATAAAATGAGGACCAGATCGTTGGGGGTAATATGCTGACTCTGTAAACCACTTAGAAAGGGCTGTAAAGCACTATGAAGCGATGTATAAGTGCTATGGCTATTGCTCAAAAGCCCTAGCTGGCACAAAACAATTAGCCACTCTCCAGTTTGATCTTCTAGGTAAGTCCATTTGAGTGTATGGCAACTTAAGGGTCAATCACTTTTAGAAAGAGAAAGAAAATAGAAAAGAAAGAAAATAGCAGAGAAGAAGCAGAGAGGATGACAGTGCCCCTTACTTCATCCTTGCCCATTCTCTGTAGTGAGAAGCAAGAGGCTCCTTGTTCTCCCATTGATAGTCTAAACAAATACGGTGGGGGAGGAAAGGGAGGGACAAGGAAAGTAATAATAAACAACTGTAATGCAAAGTCAGAAGAGCTGAGGGAGTGGTCCTGTGTTTGACTTAAAACTTTGCAACAAGAGCCTGTAGATACGAACATAGAAAGAATTCCACTGAATTAAATAGAATTTATGCCCTGTTAAGCATGCCGCCTGAATTAATCTGAGAAAGCTCATTCTGAATTCGTGGGCCTGCAAGTTCAAGAACAGTTCCTAATTATCCATTTGTTTTTATGTCTCTTGACTTCAATTATAATTCTACAATGAGCAAGAAAATGTCGATGATGAACTAAAAATAATAGAAGAGTTCACTGATTAAAAAGTTACTGGTGAAGATATCAATTTATTTGCATTTGGTTGAAAAGTTAAAAGAGTTAAGAGTTAAAACGCTTGAATTTCTTGCATGTCCACTTCTTGACTGTCAAATACTCTCCTCCACCGAGAATAAACACTTCTTGATTTGTAGCCTCTTCCTTGATACTGGGAAACTTCTGGTATTTAGAGCGATTTTGCTGAACAGACTGTGCTTCATGCTGACTTCTCCCATTTCCGTGCCTTTATTCTTGCTGTTCCTTTACAGGTACCAGTATTTGAAACGTACAGGGAACTTTGAGCGCTCTGCGGGTTTACAGGCTGGGGTGGACGCCATAGAGGTGAGGCCCAAGAAGAAGTGAGTGGGTCTTCCTGAGAAGTGGGAGGTGTTGAACATCTACTTTGTCCCCCACTCATGGCCTGCCTATGATGTTCTTTCATCCCTCAGGATGGTAGCAGTATTGTATTCCTTTGTGACCTGCACATTCACTTTCCCCTCAATATTCTGGACAGCATCCGGAAACACTGTGTGGAGGGAAAGCTGGCCTATGCACCCATTGTCATGAGACTGGGCTGTGGGAGCTCTCCACGAGAACCCAACGGTAAGGTGCTGCTACTGCTGCTGCTGGGGAACTATAACCTGTGAATTGATGTAGCATTTTCAGGCACTGAGCTAGGAATCTTGGCTAGCCCATTCTTTCAAGAGGTCTCCACTAAGTGGTTTTGACATAAAAATCAGTAAATTATAACACTGCCAAATGTGGCTGCTCAATGAAATCCATCAGCATATGCATGGCTGTTTCAGTAGAAAGGGCTGAGAGGAAGTGTACTCATTTTAAAATATGTACCATACTGTTGGTATTAATGACTTATTATTGTTTAAATGGGGCCATATGCTTATTCTCTAAATCGTCTGAGTTTTATGCAGTAGACATTCCTTTCTGCCCAATATTCATCTCCTAAAATCTGTTTCACAGTTGTAACTACTCTTGGAAATATGAAGTAGATGACTTCTTCTCTGGGAGCACTGTCTTTGCAGAAAAGACAGCATGGGAAAGATTTAGACCAGAGGCCAAAATCCTGTGCTAGATTTTGCTAAATTCCCATTCCCAGTACCCATTCCCATTCCCTTTTGATCACTCTTGACTAGGGCTGCTGGAACTTGTAGTTCAGCAAATCTAGAAGGTTACAAATTCCCTATCTCTAATATAGTTTGAGTACAATTATCCTTAAGCCTATTTCTTCCCCCACTTCCTGTATTATTTTTCATAATGGATCAGAAGTAAAATTTCCCTGATATTTAGACAAGCAGCCAGGAGGAAGAAGTCTTGTATCATGCATGACATTTGAACAGAGATAATTCATCTCTAAACACCAAAGGTAAAATAGATAAAATAGATGTTGGTGACAAATATACAGTTCTGTCTCCTAATATTTTCAATATGGACACTATCAACAGGAGGGTAGGGGAAACAGAGAATGGGAAAGTTTACCTTTCACATTGCAAAAAATGGCTTACCCACCTCTTTCAGGTACATTCTAATGAGAAATAATATAGACGTACTTTTGGTATATAAATAATGCGAATACTTTAGACTTAATGATGTTTTATCCTTGGAGAAGGTCAACATTGTGTTTTAAATAAAATTAGCTTTTGCTATTTTTATAGATTGATCAATTGACTGAAATATTTATATGTGCTTTTCCAATTGCTCAAAGCTATTTACAACTAATCATAAAAACACAAAAACAAAAGTGCACCAGCAGAATGAAATAAAAGTGCATCCCAAAAAGAGAATAAATAAAGGTAGGCTCCAATGACTTGTTTTGCATACTTTAGTTGTGCTTCTTCTGGAGAAAGAGACAAGGACATCTGTAAAACCACTCTGGAGTCCAGCCCCTACTGCGTGCAGGAATCCAAATGAGAGCATCACAGAGAAATGTCTGTCCAGTCACTGCTTGAACACAGTTAATTGTTTTCCATCACGGAAGGGAAATCACCAGCCCTCTAGATAATTGACCTCTGTGCTTATTGTTAGGGAGGCTTCTTTCTAGCATTCAATCAGAATCTGCCTCATGGCAACTTAAATCCATTATTCCATGTCTTACACTCTGGAATGAATGAGCCAGTCACTCTCTCTAAATCCTAGGAAGATGACAATAGCCAAGCATTTCTGAACAATTCTGCCAAGAAACCTTCATGGACCCATCTAGGCAGTTGCCAAGAGTCAAGAGTAATTTGAAGGTGCAAAAGAAGAAGAAAAAATGTAAATCAGTTGTTAGTAGGCTTTTGGATGCAATTTCAAGGCGTTGGTTTTGTTAAAATCTTTTGTGACTTCGATCCTCAATAACATTGGGAACCATCTGACTGAGGTAGAGTTTGCCTTCCCACTTTCTACAAGGCAGGAGGACAGGCTGAGAACCTCTCTCTCACGAGGAGGAAACTGGCCTCCCTGATGGCAGCCCCTCCCTTTTGAAAGGTTGACCTTGTTATCTTCAGAAAGCAGTCAAGACAATGTTTTTTCCAATAGACTTTGGATAAGAAGATGCAGTTGAGTTGAAGCTAGCTAAAAGAAATATTTTATAGTCTAACTTTAGGACATTGTTTGTTAAGTGTTTCATGGATGTCTATAGTTTTTATCTCATTATGAGGCAACTGGACTGTTGGGAATGGGAGACACATGAAGTATTGTATAAACAAACAAAACATTCTGGAAGAATGCAATAGGAAAGCCACTTTATACTGTATCAGGAAGACTGCATTATTGCTTCCAAATTGAAGGTGTATATCTTCTTTCTATTCCTATAACTGTTCCTCATAAGTCCTCATGTTATAGCAGGCAATTTATACCTATTGTGTATAAACCAGTTGGAAAATTAGTTTGAAGAAGAAAGTACATGCATACCCTTCCAGCATTTTGTTCATTAATAAGAGAGTGACAACATTCATTATGGAGCCAATTCTTTACTAATTGGAAACCAGTTTGATCTGAGCAAGGGTACAATTTCAAGGGACATGTAAAGTTGGCATAGCCTTTCCCTACTCTAAATTCATTCAAGTAAAGGTTACCTCCTCATTTCTTTTGTATCTACATGAGATAATGTTGTTTGCTATCACTAAGAGACATATTTCTATGATCTAAACAGGACCATTCAAGCTTTTGATGCTTTCCATTTCAAATCTGAAGAAAGAATTCTTGGCTTGTCTTTTCTCAGGCTACTGGGAAGTAAATGGCTTTGGCCTCTTTGGGATCTATAAGTCTGACTTTGATCGTATTGGGGGGATGAACACAGAAGAGTTTCGGGACCGCTGGGGCGGGGAAGACTGGGAGCTGTTGGACAGGTGAGGCTACTCTCTATAAAGTCCCCAGATCTCTTTGGGCCCATGTTGGGAATTCTACTGATCACAGGAAAAAGCAGACTATTTTACCTAAATAAATAGCTAGGAATATTAGGCAGAGAGGTCTCTATTGATGACTGTGTATATCTTTGCTTTTACATTTGCGGGATCATTAAATTATTTGCAGGAAATGCTTTCCACTTCTACTATCCTAAGGACACAGTGAGCTACAACTTTCAGCATGCAAGGTCAAACTGAAGTACATTCCACCATCACCCACCACTTCCACTCTCCCAGCAAGTCAGTGCTGTCTGCTTTTATTATATGTGGGCTGGAAGTTGTGAAACTGACTTTAAAAAGACTCTGGCTTGCAAGCAAAATCTAAAATGTGTTTGAAGCCTGTGTAAAAATGCCTTTAGGCTATTAGCCTATTGAAGATTTCCTTTTCAAGTGACATAGACATCATTTTTCCCTCTCACAGAGAACTAGAGTGCTACACCCTCCCTTGATTATTTTTAACCCTTGCTTCATAGAGGGAAATCCAGTCTTCCCAGGTTTTTCCAAGAATGCTTTTTAACTTATTTTTTTACTTTCAAATGGTCGTCAACCTACAGCCATAATTGGGACTGCAGCTTTGGTCACATCACTGTGGTCATAAGATATTGGACCCAATTTTACAATAATTTTTATGACTGGAATCACCATGATCATGAAGCAAATCTGGCTTCCCCAACGGGCATTTTTTGGCTGGAAACTGACAAAATTGTGATCATGTCACTGCGAGTATAAGGTCGTAAGTGCGAGTACAACTTACACAAGCCATTTTGCCAAGCCAGTTGTAACTTTGAACCACCATTAAATGAACAGTTATAAGTTGGGGGCTATCTTTGTTTTCTCTTGGGCTTGGGATAGTTGCTTACCAACTGTTTGAAGTTACAACAAACCTACCTTGGGGCTAGCTACAACCCACATTCAAAGGTAGAATTGTCGGGGGACCTCCACAGTCATGTGACCAAACTTCAGGAGCTCAGCAACATGGGCACATTTAATAGTTGTTTGCAGCATCCTGCAGTCATGAGATCACAATTTTGCCATTCATTCATTCATTCATTCATTCATTCATTTTTATTGCTGCCCATCTCAGTGTGATTTTTTTAGGCTTTAACAGCCAGGATCAACAGTGTAAATTAGACTTGCAAGCAAATATATGCAGATTCTAAATTTGTAATTAATTGTTCTAAATTCTTAGCCATTAGGATTATTTTAGCTGCTATTTCTTTGCCCCATAGAACTGACCCAGGAAAGTGGTATACAGGTAATCCTTGGTTTACAATGTTCATTTTAGTGACTGTTCAAAATTACAATTGCACTGGAAAAAGTGACATGACCATTTTTCACACTTATGACCATTACAGCATCCCTGTGGTCATGTGATCCAAATTCAGACACTTGGGAACTGACTCACATTTATGACAGTTGCAGTGTTCCGGGGTCATTTGATCCCTTTTTGTAATCTTCCAACAAGCAAAGTCAATGGGAAAGCCAGATTCACTTAATATCCATGTTACTAATTGAACAACCACAGTGATTCTGTTAACAAATGTGACAAGAAAATTTGTAATATGGGACAAAACTCACTTAACAAATTTCGCACTTAGGCGCACAAATTCTGGGCTCAATTGTGGTCATAAGTCGAGGACTCCCTGTACATAGACTGAAATAGAATCGAATAGAATAGAATACTTTATTGGCCAAGTGTGATTGGACACACAAGGAATTTGTCTTGGTACGTACAACACTTAATGATAGTCATAGGGTACAATCAGCAATCAAATCATAAAAGGAAGAAGAGAATTGTTTCAGGACGTACCCACATAACTATGTCCCTTATGGCTAGTTCAACTTACTGTAGAAGCAGGATGGGAAAGAAAAAGGTATTATTGTGCCACAATAACTAGTTTGAATTTTGGCACATTCTGGAATCCTTCTCCAAGATCTAATACTCCAGTAGGAACTAGCACAATTTTTTTTCAGAAAAGTAGCACCTGGTTTTATTTTTATCCTGCCTTTCAATCAGGTGCAAAAAGCACCATATACATTCTCTTGGTTACATTCTCTTCTCAACTTCTCTTGGTTCCCCCCTCAACTATACAACCTCTAGAGCAGGGGTTCCCCATCTTGGCAACTTTAAGACACATGGACTTCAACTCCCAGAATTCCCCAGCATGGCTTATTTTTGTCGTCTGTGCCCAAAGCAATTTATACATGTAGTATTTCTCCAACCACATACATTCTTTCCCACAGTAAGGTTACTGTTTTCTTTAGTGTATTCTCGATGAATCAAAGGCATTCCCCCATTTTGAAAATAAATTATTGGGTCAGAGGGTGGGAGAACCTGCTCCCTTTGAAGTAAAGGCAGTACATATTCACAATATAAACAATATGCTCAACTAACCACAGACTCCTGCATGTCCCTAGGTAGATCAAACAGTCTTGTTTTGCCCGCTGGAAATGGTTTGAGTTGAGACTTTGTCAAATCTTGAGAAAAGGAGTTCCAGAATCACAGAATAACCAATTAGGGCGCTGCCCAAAATGTTATGCAGGGCAACAGGTTTGCTCAGATTGAGTATGCATGTTTGCTTGGAAATTAATCCCATAGAATTTAATAACACTTTCTTCTTAGTAAGGCGGCAGAGGATTATAGCCTTAGCTGTTTGATTTAATGTACCATCATTTATGTTTACTTCTAAATGTAATCCTGTCCTTTGTGAGGTCTCTTTATAGTATGAAGTAGTCTTGATAAATTGCCTGTTGAAAGAGACAGTGTACACTAAGAACTGAAAAAACAGTAGGCATAACATTTTAACTTCTATGCAGCTAGATGTATCAAGACAGCAATACACATGAACACATTTGTAATGTATTTAATAACATTTAAATGTGGGGCATTACCGTTGAAAAATACTGGGGCAGTATGTACCACACAAGTGACTAAACCTATTACAAGCTGCCAAGTGTATGATACCTCTATAGGGAGAATGCTATAATTGAGAAGACCACAAGATCTGAATCACATACTGTGTGGGAAATACCTACTGTTTACGTAAGGCCATATACAGGATCGTGCTGGCCACATTTAACATATGAGCCCATTGATATTGGAAGAGACACTGTTTCAGATATTTAGATTCTAAACCAATTAGGGCTTAAGAGACAAATGTCTTCATTCCAAGCCCCATGGCAAGATAAGCGGCAAATAAATAGAACCAAGTTTAACAAATGAGGCTCAGTCAGACATGGGCAGTAATAGTTTAAAGCCTGATGCTCCACAGTCCAATTTAGATCCCTAGTATCTGGGGATACTAATATCAGTATCTGGGTTGATAAATGTCTGGATGATCACTAGGATGGCAACTAGGGGTTCATCCAGATTTTTTTCAGGCCAGGTATTGGCTGTTCCTGCACCAGATGCAGCTTCTAAACTAGGTCCAAATCATACCAGCTAATCCATATATATATATATATATATATATGAGGATATTCCTGTTATGCATGAAAGGGTTCTGTAGCAGATGTTTCCTTGGAAACACTAACTTTCTGTCTCCTCTTTTTCTTTTCCCTTCCATCATCTGATTTACTCCCATTGTTTCTAGGGTGCTTCAAAGCGGGTTAGAGGTAGAACGTTTGCGACTCAGGAACTTTTACCATTACTACCATTCCAAGCGTGGCATGTGGAATTCACACAACAAGAAGACACCCAAAGACTAAGCACACCAGCATTGTCATCAGCTGGACTCCTCCTCCTGGTCTTCTTTAAGTGGGAACAAGGAAGCAGCAGCCACTGGACTCCACACAGCATGACCCAGCACAGTTTTTCTACTGCTACAGGTAGCCTTCTGGATGCAGCATCTGTCAGAGGCCAGACCAAGAGCACTCAGAGTGGAGGTTTTCTACAGAACTACTGTTTAAAGCAAACCATGTTTATTTTGGGATTTTTTTGGTGACTTTTCTTAAAGGGTCTAATTTCTTAGTCAGCAATTACATTTATTAACTCGGTAGTGCTGAAATGCAAAGAGTACTGCTAATAGGAGAGTGAGGTGAGCCCACCAGTATTACTGCCAACCAGGAATGAGCTGGTGCAGCTTCTCAAAGCTCATGTAACTGCCTGGAAAAGTTTATGACTGTATTTGCCCTACTTTAACTCCTGAAGTGAGCAGGGAAGGGGGAGAATCTTCAATATGTCACAAATGGTTCCTTCTTGATATGTCTAGGCCACTGCACATTTTCATGCCAGTGGGAGAAGCTGAAGAGAATTGAAAAAAATCTCAAAGGGGCATAAAAAGACTTGTATCAGGCGAGAGGTGCTCCAGTTTCTCAATACAATTTTGGATTTTTGTTCCCTGCTAGCTCTGTTGCTTTTGCTGCTCCAGCCCCACAGTTATATTGTGCCTCAGGTAGGAATTGCTCCAGAACTCCACATACAATAGAATTATAAATAACTATCTCCAATCCCGTGGAGAAGATATAACAAACGCATTCTCCCAAAAAATTAGCTTTATAAGGGGGAAGGAATATCCAGGAAATTGCTCATTAGAACTTTTCAGGCTTCAGCATTTTTGGGTGTGATTTCCTCATCAAAGGAATGGGAAATATTTTAGGTTTTCTGTTCTCCTACATCTTTGGGTCCTCTAAAATAAAACCTCCCAACAAGAGGATATCTTTCAGGTAGAAAGGTAGAGAGGATGTAGAATTGACAAAGGAACAGGAAGCAGAAAGTGGAGCTGACTTCCTCTCCTTCCACAACATAGTTGCTTGTGAATATCCTCATTTTTCTTCATTTGTTGCTTGGTACGGATCAAGACTGGATGCCTACAAACATGAGCAACAAAATACGTTTGATATAATTGTCGGCAGAGAAGCAAAGGTTAAATAGAAATTCTGGGAACAAAGGAATTCTGGGTTGTGATGGGCTTACAGTAGGAGTCACTGCCCATATTTCCCTAGTCTGTGCCATGTTAACGGAGAACCCAACATTAAAAAAAATCAAAAACCCCTCATCCTTTTTATTTGAGAGAGAAAGAACCTAAGAATGTAGACTAAGGACTGAATGGATTGACTTGGTAGGAAGGGGCTGATCATCTCTCCCCCCTCCCCCCTCCCCCCCATTTACTGTTTTTGGAGCAACCTTCTCTCTTTATACACAATGCATCAAATATAGAGAGTGAATGAGGTTTCACTACTTTCTGGCTTCATCTTTGGGTTGCTATGGTTAGAGTATCAAAACAGGAGTAGAGAGAAGGGCAAAACAATATTTCCAAGCTAATTTCTGTGAAATTATGAGGTAGAAAGCTGTTTTCAGAAAGTTATGTCTGATTTTTTTTAATGGATATTGTTATTAAAAAAAAATAAAGTAAATGTCCTGGTTCTGATTTTTTCCCTGTTTTGTAAATTCATTTGAAGTCATGGTACCAAGTTTCCTTCCTGCAGAGGTTCAAATAAGGCCTGCAGTGTTCACAGGAGATGCTTCGCAGGCTCAATTGTTGCTTCATCCAGATCACCAAAAGGATTTCCCATCCTCTCTGCCAGCTGCTGTTACACTCAACCAGATGCAGCCCTGTTTTCACAGAGTAGAGAATTAGTCTCATTAGTTCTTTCATAACATACTTAACTGGCTCAGGTGAGCATATCATGCCTACAGCTAAACACAGTCAGCCCTGGGATTAATTGTTGTCCCATAAAAGTGCAATTGGTTGGGACTAGTCCCTCCTCCAGGTCAGTCTATCATGCAAACATCTATGGTGATTCTCAATCACCCAGGTCATGATGGTCCAAAGGCTGCTTTTTCAAAAGGCAGCTGGACTTCCTTTGTTTTTCCTTGAAGATGTTTCACTTCTCATCCAGAGCTGAACTGAACTGAAGAAGCTTCTTGGATGAGAAGGAAAACATTTTCAAAGGAAAACAAAAAGTCAGGTTGCCTTTTGAAAAATCACCTTTGGGAGTATCATGCAAACAAACTCAAGAGGGCTAATATAAGGCTAACCCCCTTTCTCCTGCCAGAACAGAGACAAAACCCTGGAATGATCCCTTTCCACATATATCTCCATTTTGTTCTTATCCTGTAGGCATGTTGTGTGAAGCATTGGTAGAAATAAACACACAAAAGGAAAAATTGAGCTAACTGCTCCTCACATGACTGGAACATCTGGAATGATGTGCTGTCAATGGCAGGAGAGGAGTTTCCTTGAGGGAGCAAACTGACTCAGAAATGTTTTGCATATATAGCCACTTATTAAAGCTGTTTACATGCAAGAAAATATACATGAAATATATTTTCACCTGAAGCTATAAACAGAGAATTTAGTATCGCACACAAAAGTGTAATACAATGCTCTTTGGTATATATATCAGATAGAATATTCAGGCTAAATGATGAAACCTTAATCAGGACAAGGTAGATTTATTGAACTGTTAAATTTATTTATGAGAGTTTTCTTCCATTGGTTGAGAAGAACAGACTCTGTTAAAAAGAGTGTTCAAGAAAAAAGCAGGAGATCCAACACTCTGCAAATCTTTCTGAAAAAGCTTTTAAAAACTCACCATGAAAATAGCTTGTTGCTTCAAGGAGCTATTTGGTAACTGTAATGATTTTTGTAATACCTAACAGAAAATTATCTTTCGCTTTTCTTTGCTGCCCACAGTTACCCCTTCTCCTCTCCTCAATTTCTATTTTTATTTTCCTCCTCTTTTTGGCAGGGAGTATGGGGAAATTGTCTGGTCTGTATGTATATTCTTTTCTTTTTAAGAATGTAAAGGCTGTGTGTGTGTGTGTGTGTGTGTGTGTGTGTGTGTGAAGTAGATCAAATCAGTAGTCAAAATGATAAAAGAAGTGAGAAAGAAATACAGTATGTACCTTTAGAGTATCTAGACTACCCTGGTTGGTGCCCTACAAAAGAAAGAATTTATACCTGCCCTCTACTATATTAAACTAGGCAAAGCACGTCACTCTGTTCTTCTTTATAGCTGTTTGAACATGATGATGCATCAGCAAAGTGTCTTCTAAGCAGCATTCAGGACCTGTTTTATTAACTTCAACCCCGTCCTACAGGTTTTCATGAGATGGGGTGCGGTTGGGCAGAGTAAGAACACATTGGAATTCTGAATAACTTTGGGGGGTCTATATTTAGAACCAAAGAAGTGGGAAAATGAGGACAGGGACCACTATCTGAGAAAAGGAAAGACACACAGTCTCTCTCTACTAGTGTTAGGAAACTAAACATTAAAAAAACCCATCTATCTAGGGACAATAGATAGATGTTCTTTCTGTTCTAAAAGCTCCAGCTTTCAGGCAGAAGCTTAGCTCCATGTCAAGTACACACAGAGATGTTGATCTGATGCAAATGACTATAGCCCGAAGTTCTGGTGTTCCCTTAGGCAAATGCATGATGTCAAACAACTAAAGATGGAGTAGCTCTTCTAGGCATGATCTGGGACCTAATTAGTGGTTATTTTACATTTTGTTAGAGGAAAGCTACCACACTGAAGACAAAATATGGGCATTAAACAGTCCCACAGTGAAGTTCCATCACGAAGAAAAGAAACCTCTTTCCTATGGCTGCATGAAACGATATTAATGCATAAATCTCATCAGTGCCCAGAGGCATTTGGGTGCATCTCTGTTTCACAAAAGGTCAAAAAGCTGGTTGTGGTCTGGTTTTTGTTTCCAGGGAGCTAAGCTGCTTTTCTCCTCCAATTCACCTTCAGGTATCCACAGCTGTTCATTACTGTTCATTGCTCAGTTTTCAGAAGTCATGAGTGGTATCTAATGCATGTGGAGACTTGATCTAATTCAGCTCTAAGCAGATTGTGAAAATGTACATTAATTCCATCAAGTTACTTTTTGAACCTTTAGGGTTTATATCAAAATTAAGTCTCCAAGAGTTAATTGGTAAAGCTGATCTAACATAGTAAAAAGGACTACATACTTTCTATTTTCCATCTCAATTACTATATCAGGGGTGGTCAGCCTGTAGGCCATTCATAGTCCCTCAATGCTCCATCTATAGATCCATAACTCCTCCCAGAGTATGGGGAGGGGCTTTTCTATTTCGGCTTAGGGTTTAGTGTCATGAAAAAAATAACTTTTAAGAGTCTGCAAGAATTAGGGCATCGTGCTTGGTTTTTTACCTCTGTCTAATTCCTAAAATGAAAAGAATGAGACTGAAATTTCAATCCTACCTAATGAAGTCCCCCACCCCGGCCTACAGTTAAGGCATAGAACAGTTCAGTTCTTCCTTGTCTAAAATCTTCACACTCATCTGACTAAAATGAACCACATTCACTGTTTCATCTTTCAAATCTAGTTGACTTGCTCAAGTGTCTCTGAGCAAGGTCAGCCTAGACATATTATCTATCTTAAAAGGAACATTATTTGGACCATTGCAGGTGTTACAATCAGAGCCCATAGAATGGAGGTTGCTTAAATGGTCAAATCAAAAGTCCCCAGAATCCATCAAATATCCAGGAATCAGGTATTGTCTTGTGGGTCAGGTAAGCATTCAATGAGCGACACATAGGAAAGTTTACAATTGAGGACTATCAAACCTTAGTCTGTTAAATGGCAAAGAACATACATATATCCTCCTACTTGCATTCCAGTGGAATAGAGTCAGCCTGAACCCTTTCTTATTTAAAGCAATCATGAGGCATCCTGTTCTGACTGTTCCACCCACTGAAGATGGGAGACTGAGAAGGAGAGATAAAAATTGGAG